TTTAAATATGTAAACTTTATAGTTAATCGGGTATTAACACGAATAACTTTATTTATTCAGTTTATCGAAGTATATTTATATTATTTTATTAATTGAATTGTTAGTCATAACAGTGTACAAGCAATAGTACTTACTACTTATGACAGAACAGATCATAAGAAGACGAGAAAGAAGATTTCGTAGAACTCTTAAATGTATACACATTATACAATGGAATATCGACTGAATCCATTTTCATAACTGCGTCAAAATATTAGTGGCTCATAAAAACTTAATCACGGCAAACTTTCCGTTATATATTCTACGTACAATTATCAACAAAATGTTAGGTAGTAAAATATTAATGTTTCGCCTAACTATTTAATTCATGTTTATAAAATTTAATGGGAATTGAAACCTATGTTTAACATTTTAACAAGAATTATGAGTGTTATTTTTTTTTATTATGGCTTGACATAAAATGTATTCCCCAAATACAGGTTTGGGAAACTGAATGGGCGAGTTGGTTGATTTGATTGGTTGGTGGTCATTAAGGGTTTTGGTTGGTTTTAATTACATAAACATAACAATTAAGTTTATCTGTAGATCCTGAGAGCCTTAGTTGTTCTTATACTCGTAAGAGAAATAAATAATAATAAACCAATTTGAAGCTAGAATTTATATAAGGTGCGAGTTTTGGATTGCCTAAGGGCCTCTACGTGACTTAATCTGAGCGTAGATACGAGGAAAATATACAGTATGTTAACAGTTCTTACGAGGGTATTACCCGATAATGTTATGCAGATATTAGGTACTTTAAAACATGTCTAATAATTTGTAAATGAAATCACAATACTTTAGAGAAACATAAGTTTTGCGATTTTATTTATGAAACTTTATATAGATTAATATTTTATTTAAAACTTAGGCATATTTCTCCCTCTTTTATAGGCCTATCATGTTGTAGGTTGGTAAGAGATTGTTAGTAGTAAGGTTTAGCAACGTTGCTAATAACCTGACCTAACTAAATATTTATCTTATCATCCTTCAGTAGTGCTCCAGCGTCCATCATTAACAAGATCGAATGCACCATGTCCTGATTATTCATAGAGCCTCGGTGGTCTAGCGGTTTAGCACACCGCCTTACTTCCGATGGTCGCAGATTCGATTCATCGTACGGTGCAAGCATTTGTATTCATGAGTATGATTGTCTGTATCAATCTGGGTGTTTTCTATGTATAATATGTATATATTAACGAAAAAAATATATATGTTTTTGTATCAATTATCTAGTAGATATAACACAAAGCTCTAGCTAGCTTAACTTGGGTCTAGATGGCGCTGTGAGAATTATCCTAAGATGATATAGAAAAAAAAATACGTACCATATTACAATGGCAATTAGTAAATAACATGATCGCCGATAAACGGTTACCACAACTTATATGCACACGTCTGTAATTGATATTAATACAATTTGCGCTTTAAGATATTGAATCCTACTGTAGTAAATGTCGTTATGATAATGATTTAATGATTTTCGTTGCTAAATAATCGTGTCCTTCAAACAGAAACAGCTGTGTAAGCATAGATGTCTGCTCATGAAAACAGTTGAATCAAATATAACGATGCCTTTGTACGCTCTATTGTAAGATGCGTCTATACATTGAACTGCAATACGTTACTGGTATTTGGACGTTGATCTTTATTATCAAAAATCATTTCACGGCAGGACAATATGTATTTATATTGTATAAAATAGATTTTTCGTATTTTCATTCAACGCAAAAAACAAGAAACGTCATTAACAGTCGGACCGACACAGTCGTACGGAAGATATAGAGTTAAATTATTTGAAAGTTATGATATTTGGCTATACTATACTTCAAAACAGTACAACAATGTGTTGTGGTACTAGACAACTGATATAAATACTTAGATACTTTTTTTTTTCTATAAATTTTCTATAAATGCTTGTTTCGTGCGTAGAATCGAACTTGCGACCATCAGATGTAAAGTGGTGTGCTATACCGCTAGACCACCGAGGCCGTCGACAGACAATTGATACATTTATAAAAAGTAATCTATGAATGTACTAGATAAGAAAAATTGTTCACACTAGGTTATTTCTAAACTATACAACAATTACCTTATTATTCATGTTAAAAATACATTAGCAGATTCATATATTTATAAATGTATCGAGCTATGATATATGCTATACACACGGCGTATTTGATAATATAATAACTTTGTAACGTATAAATAATAGTTTCTATTGCTACTGTTGTAGTATATATAAGTACTCATTTTTGCACAATAAGTCCACTCAGATTTGATTTGATCCAACATTTCTAAATTTATCTATTCATTTCCTTGATTTAGTATGCGGGCCTCGTATATTGCCTTTATGGAATTAATACTGGTATTAGAGGCATCGATAAGTCTTAATAGAAAATTGTGATTTGTTATCTATCTCAATGTAAAATTAGAAATTCCATTGTATTGTATGAAATACAGCCTCTTTTTCAAAATCTGAAATGTATATTTTTTACTTTTATTACTAATAAACGAACATATAAAAAAATAATTTCTTTGCATAAGATTAGTATAGTATATATATGTAGTATAATACATACATATATAAGAGAGATGCATTTTCATTTCATTCGGTTGTCTAGTCGCAGAACCGTGAAATTGGTATGAACTGAGTATATTTCTTATTTTTATTTTAAAAAATTGTTTTTGAGTATGAGTATGCAACTGAAGGATAATATAGCTGGTGAAATATCTGATGCTATAAACATTATTAACTGCAGACATTAACAGTACCAAAATTTTGAATATTTTGGTTTAATATTTTTATGTAATTGGATTAGCAACCAAGCTAAGGGCACGCCTGGTGGTAAGTATCCGTATGCAACTGTATTTGTATAGGAACAGCACATCACACAATTTCAAGATATTCTTTATTGACTTAGCAATTCTGTAATATAACCTTTAAGAAGGTCAAGAACTTCCAATACACCATGTCCTAGCGTGACTGGCTGTATCAAAATAAATATGCAATAGTGTCTGTTGACAGTGTCGACTTGTTGACTTCTCAAGATTTTTTACTTACTAAAGTACTGTAGTAGGTAGTATGGAATTCTTGGAAAATTAGCAATAAATCGATATTTTTAACATTAATTAAAGTAGTAACGATTTACCGGATTTTGAAGAAAAACCGGTATAATAACGAAGTTCGTGAAAATCCAAGAACTATGTTGTATTTATATTATTTGAATGTTACTTAAATCTTATACGGTCTGTGAGCATAAATGGGTGAATGTTTGTTACTCTTTCACATAGAAACTAGTAGATGGATTCAAAAGAAATTCGCTACACAGATAGGTTATATCCTCGATTATAATGGATACGTTTATATACATACGATGTATAGGGACAAAACTAGTAATTTGTATGTTACAAAATCTTAACAACCGTGTCAATTTATATTTACCATTTCAATTACTTAAAAAATCAGGGTGTTTATAAACCAGACTTACGATTGAAATGACTGTGGTGGGCTCTCCCCATTGTCTGGTTTAATTAAGTCAAATATATATATCGAGGTAAAATATGGACATATCAAGTATTCTGTTTACTACAACGTGAATCAAGACAATTTTATCTCTCTTATTTCTCTGTCAGACAACTTTCTTTACAAATCATGTACGTTTTTGACTAGATATTAAGTGTCTTACAGTATATTGAAACATAATCTTATCTAGCACCGTAACCGTAGTTCTTTGAAATGAAAATAAATCAGTAGATTAATATTATTGCTTTAACCTGCCGATGTTTTCTTACTATACTACAGCATGGGGTTTTTCAAGAATAAAATTTATCTTTAATATACTCATTAAGATATCTTAAAAGCCCGCAACGCACACGTCTATAGGCTACGGTAACCATTTACTATCAGATGGGCCATATGCCTGTTTGCCAACAACATATTGTATAAAAAAAACTATAATTAGGTGACTCTGTTCATGTAGGAAAGATGATGGCTACTATTTTAATTAAGTGAGCGTTCAGTTTAAATGCCATAGTGATATGAACTATATAGGTAGTAAGCTTACCCCAGAAGTGAAATTGAAGTAAAATTATATTGACTATAAACCATTTAAACTAGTGCTTTATTACAGTCGTTATACTTTTCATGACCGAGTCAATATTTGCATAGTTGTACATTAATCAAGAGTATGATATGCGATTTTGGAAGGTAGATATAAACAATATTGTACTAATGATATACAGTGGATTAATAATAATTTTACGCATGTGATAGTACAATGCATTTTTTTCTTTGACTATGCAATAATTATAGACGTCTATGATCGGATATCTACTGTCATTCGGTAGTAGATGTTTTGTTATGTACTAGTACCTTCTGATGCACTTCATTAAATTTCATTACCGTCAGCTAAGTCTGAAAAGACCAACGTCAGCAGAATAGTTAAAAAAAACATGTAATGCTAAAATCTATAATGGATTCTTATATTGTCAACTAGTGAGATCTAAGGCACTTTACTGCTGCTGCGTATTTTTAATTACATTTGTAAAAAAGTGATTAAACATTTTATTAAAAATAATGTTAGTCTTTTTCTTATATCTTCATTTACTTGCTCCCTCTGTTAAAATCTGAGAATCATTATCTGAAGGTATGCAGGAGTGCATGTGCATTTACGAATGTGTATGAATGTGTGTACGTGAGTATCTATTTATATATATGTCTTACTGTGTATTAAAATTATAGTCATTAATAACCTGCAGTACTATCCACCTAATTTAAACTTTATATGATGGCTTACTCTTTGTAATTCATTTATATCTGACGTATATTCTAAGATAATGAAGGCATGTTTTATCTTCTCAATATTTATCTTATACCTAAGAGAGTAAACAATACCTATAATTCATCTTTATGTCATAAGTACCAGTAGATTGTAAGTAACAGATTACTACTTCGTTTCCAGGTATTAAACTCATATTTGTCGAGGTGGTTGCGTGGATAAAGACACTGAAATGTTACCAAGATGGCGATACGCAATATCAAAATGTAAGTTATAATAATCGTATTGAAATAATTTTACGTCCTCGTTATTTTTAGTTGAAAAGTTCTATTTAACCTGACATTTTGAATTAAATAGTCATTCAAAATGCCAGGTTTATAAAATAAATAAATAATTTGTATGGGCAACTTCAGTTACTTGTTTTATCGTTGCTATATATACGCAATATGTACGATATTTGATTATCATGCATCATTTGAGAAGATGTGAAATAAGGAAAATTATACCTCCATAGCTATGGAAGCAAAGTTGTCTGCCTATTTGGCTATCTATCCGTCTGTATATAACCTTTTCACAATTCAACAGCTAAGACTATAATGAACTATGGCGTAGAGATGCAGGTAACAACTAGTATTGTACAGTTTGTAGTTATTATTAGACCAATGCAATTTATAGAGTTAAATCCATTACATCATATGCAACTGACAGCAGATGTTAATTAATAAAATTTCAATTGTGAAAGCTTTCTAGCCACTAGTGGTTTAATTAAACCAACACTACCAGTGAAGTTTCATATTTAAAATGAAAATATTAACTCTTTTATATTCATAAGTTAATATATTTGCACAGACGCGAGAACAATGTTCTGTGCATATTTGAGTAAATCTATTTATTGAGTGGACGTGGTCATTCACTAAATTATTACCGTGTAATTTTATTTTAGTTTTTTTATGGACAACGGACCTGAAGAAATTATAGTATAAGTACTGACTAACATTATTAGAGTGATTTTTATTATTTGACTTGACTGGAATTGCTATTAGCTGACGACCTATAATTTTATCTATTTTTTGTATAGAGAAAAACGATATTTTTACATTCCCAACATACACACTATTTTCACATTAAATTTCGACCCGTTTAGGTGTGAAAAGTTAATAAACAGACGGTCACAGATTTAACATCAATAATAACATCGGTACGGATAATTATGACATTTTTTCTGTCTCACAATCTTTACTAAAAGTAATTCTAATCAGTATAGTAGTATTTTAACCTTGAAACCTGTGTAAAAAGAAGTTAATAGTCTTTTAGTATGTACATAATAATCATATTCGTATGAAACAGTTTTAGTTACATGACATTTCGAATTCATTTGCTATGGGGACGACAACTGATGAATAAAATCCGTTTGGAGTCTTGGACATAAGACATATTTGTAAAAGTAGACTCACCAAACAGTAAGGTTTCTTGATGTATGTTCAAATAGACAATTTTATATTCTATGCCCAAAACAGTGAACTTACATAATTTTGTTATTAAACGACTTCGAAAAGGACCTCTCCTTTTTAACTTAACTGTAATTTATATTTGCGATATATTCAAGCGATATCCGTGAACTAATTGTATTTTATTAAGAATTACATATATCTTCAGTAATTTATTTGATTATTATGATTTTTTTAGTATAATAGTTCATTTAATAAGTAATCTTGTAGGTACTTCCGTATTAATGTTAAGTTACTAAGTTTCCTTTATATTTATATATAATAAAAGTGTAATTGATTGCTGTCTGTACATGGAAGATATGTGGACACCAAAATAATAATTGGTGTCAGAAACGGATTAACCGATTTGGATGAAGTTTCCACTAATGTACTATAGTAATCTTCACTTATTGAGTTTATTTTAATCCATTTGATTTAGAAAAAAATACATGTGTAAGACATCTCATACTCAGCTAGTATAATAATATAATGGGACTGTTAGATGTCAATATTTTATGTAGTAAAATATTTTTTGAATAATCAATAACTACCACTATAAAGAAACATTTTCTCCGCTCAGTGTTCCTAATTCCTCAGCGGTATGTCCTGGGTATTATGGGCCTACTGGCCGTTTGCAACGCGTACACTATGCGCGTATGTCTCAATCTGGCAGTCACGCAAATGGTCAACAATACCAAAGATGTCGAGTCACATTATGACCCCAACGCATGCCCTGATGATAGTGAGATCCTGCCGAACGGAACCGTCAGTCAGAAGCCGGTAAGTCATACATTTTTATTTCTTTTAATTATTATTAGTAGAAGAATGTAAAAAGGATAATGATTAGTAGAAATAACATTTATTTACAAAAAGAACACATATATTTGAATAAATACAAAAAATGTTTTTGAAAATTTTATGTTAGGACATTATGGTACCCATAATTGTACATATATTTGTAATTGTAATTGTATATGTATTTTAAAAGTGTAAAGTATAAAGAAAAAATTATAATGATAATTCTGAAATGTTTATAAATTTTGGCTTGTGTCTGTTCTACAACCTGTCCTATTGGTATACTTATAGTAGAATAAGATTAAAAAAGGTTTTTAAAGGTTTAGGTTTATTGTAATATACTTAGATTAATCAATATCTTTTACGAAACCTATATATTTTATTCATTTCAATTTTTTTCCTAAAACATATAGCACTAACTAGTCCTAATGTAAATAGACCCGTATAATTGATAGATGTATTAAATTATAGAAATACTATAATATTATTTTATAGAAATACTTAAGTCGTAATGTATTATATAAAAAATACACTCATAAATATGCACACCTAGTCTTCTGTGTTTCATCTATATGTACTGAGATATCAATTTATGAATATGTAAAAATATCTTTGTTTTGTTATTGTGCTGGAATCAAAATCGTGGTAATTATAATAAATAAAATTTCTATATAAGTAAAGTAATGCAAATGAAACATAGGTATAACTCGATAGCATTAAATTAGAAATGGAAATCAATAACAAATAAAAGCTCGAAAAGTAATAATATATCCGTAACCAACGAAGGCGCAGATTATTTGTTGGCCATAACTCAGAAACTGTAAGTAAATTTTCCGCTGGGACCCAATTCAGTTAATAGCGTTCATTCGGTGGAAATAGGATACAAATTAAACTTTGATTTTCGAGGCGTTTAGCTGTCAAACTCGGATATTAATTGAAAATCGGTGTACTAATTTTGAAATGTATAGAACTGTGATATATTTTTTCATTTGAATCAATATTCTGGACCATTATATAATTAAATAACTATTTATTCTTTCAAGTATTAAATATTGTATCTTTAGGTAAAGATTTTGACTTTGCATATGTGTGATACGATTTTTCATATAGTCAATCGACTCTTGTTTATTATAATTATTATATTAAATAGTTTTAATTGACATTGAACAAAAAGAGGATTGATTTTTACATTTTAATTTTTACACTTATTTATTTCTGCATCATAAGTAAAAGTTTCGAAACGGCAACAAATTTGATAAGAGAAAACATTTGTACAACATCAAATTTGTCTGTCTGTTACATTTTCACGACAACAGTACTAATTGAATTTTCACGTAAAGATAGATTATATGATAAAGATATACATTAGATATCTTTTATCTCAAAAAGTATATAAAGTCGCGGGCAACAACTAGTAACATACAAAACATTCCACGAAACAAATTAAGAAATTCAGTATACCTATTAAGTCTTCGAAATTGCCATTTCAGTCAGAGCGCAGGAATTAATGTTATTTATTAATCTCTTCCAGTACGCAATATTTGATTGGTCTGAGTCGACTCAAGGGCTTATCCTCAGTGGATTTTATTATGGATACGCCATTACCCACGTCCCTGGAGGATACTTAGCCGAAAGATATGGAGGTAAATGGACACTAGGCATCGGGCTATTGAGCACGGCAATATTTACACTGCTCACACCAGTTGTGGTAAAAGCTGGCGGTGCTACATGGCTGTTTATACTCCGAGTACTACAGGGAATGGGAGAGGTAAGATGAATGAGGGTTTTATAGAATTGAATTCACTTGAGACAATGGTGACAGATATAGTTACAATGTATTAAAAAAACCTTACAATATATAATGATATAATTGACTGTCAAATTCAACTGTATTTACTTTGCCATCGCCATATTGTTGGAAAGAAATGTAAGCACTACACTTTTTTTGTGTACAATAATGGACTTGCTAAAAATAAACGCCTACACAACATATTATAGCAACAAAGAACAGAAACAAATGTTTGTAGTATTATTTTTGTAAACACATTCTTGGTGTACCTAATATTATATTTGATGATATATATACTTGAAGTAAACTATATATTGTGCAGTTAAAAAATAAATTGAATTTATTATTCCTGATAATATCTACTTATCTATTTATTTATAAAGTCTTTATTTCACCCATTTATAGGAATTATACAGACAAGAGGTATTGATGTACATAAAATCGAAAGCAAGCAATCTTTTCTCTACTGTAACATACTAAATAATTGCAAAATAAAAAAAATGTTACATCCTATTTTACGACAGGGTTAAAAAGGAAGATCTTCCCTCAAAGTAGCTCTCAATAATTTATTATTATAGGTACCAACAATGGTGTATAGGTATCTGTTTAAGGATGTCAATGATAAATTTCTTACTTCACAAGTTGTTGTAGCCTTGCCCTTATCTCAATAGCCACTAAAAGATGAGTGTGATGACCCAGATTTGTTGTAAATAAATACGTATACAAAAATAAAAGTAAGAAATTTTAGATAAATATTTGTCTACTGTGAATAACAATCTTAAACGAATGACTATTATTTACATTGAAAAATGAATGTTATGTGCTCCAGATATGAAGCACATTGATTGATAGGTATATGTATACGTATACATATTATAAAGAAAAGTCCCCCTGCTGTATTTGTCTATGTGTCATATACAAATAATAATATAATATATATTATCGATAATCTCAGAAACTTTAGAATATCCTGCGATTTTCATCCATCACTGAGGACAATTTTAGTTTAGGTATAATTTGTTATAGTGTGGTTTATATAAATTACTTGAAATGTGCGAAGCCGGTGTATTATATGTATACTAGTATTATATGTTTATATATATATACTAGCTATTTGCTAGTATGCTGCTTTGCTATAAACATATAATACTGTACAACTTGTACAAACTTGTAATTGCTAGTTTGTAATAATTTGTAAATGTAAGTGAAATTTTTTATATCAAGTTTATTGACCACTCTGTCACCAAATATTTATGAAGTCAACTGTACATCCTCAGAGGGCCATATAAAACTTTACCACCACTCATTTTGTTGGCCCAAAAGTACTACTTTAGGATAGGAACCTCTATTAAAAGGGCGGTCACGTACGTTTTGCCGACCCTAATGACACTTTCCCTTTAGAAATTCTTGAAAGTTTATCATCATAACAGAATGCTAATAAAATAGCATTTGCAAAGATCTTCTGGATCACTCAGGTTAGCAAATGGGAGTTCCGATTGTTCTACACTTTAAAATGTTCTTACAAAATGACTATCGTTATTAACATTACGTTTAATAAGAGTCTATTTATAAATATATAAAAGAGAGAATCGATCTATAATTTAATCTATTAAGAGTGAGGCAAGTTTTGACAAATGACAAAAGTTACTTGCACGTATGTTAAAAAAATTGTATCACAGTTTCATACAAAAAAGTTTAGTTCCAGTTGACGCAATTATTGATATTCTTCTATCTGTTTCAGGGTCCAACAATGCCCGCTTTGATGATAGTGTTAGCTCGTTGGGTACCCCCGCATGAACGTTCCAGACAAGGTGCTTTGGTGTTTGGTGGTGCGCAAATAGGAAATATCTTCGGTTCCTTCATGTCAGGCTTCCTTATGGCTGGCGATGGTGATTGGGCTAATGTATTTTATTTCTTCGGCTGCTTCGGTATCGTGTGGTTTTTGTTTTGGGTATGTAGATACTTAAATATGTAAATTCACATAAATGGAAATGAACTGCTAATTCGTTGTTTTTGTATATTTTTATACAACACGTGTATTAAAATATATAAAAACGTCATCGTAATGTGACCTAGGAACAAAATTCAGTTTAATGTTTACTGAGGCAGACTATAATCGAAGAAGTCTGTTTGTTGTCGTTGTTAAACTTGGTGCTTTATAATCTGCGTTGAGATTGAATGGTGATCAAGATATGACAGGGTACGATAGTGTGATGTGTTAGTGCTCCTGAATGGCAACAATTACTTTAACAACTAGAATCACATGATGACGAGATATCTATGGAACTTTTCATAATTCAGGTGGCTTGTCAGCCATCTATTTCTATCTATCATTTACAATAAAAATATAGTCTTTCAGCGAAATTGGTAACGAACAGTAATATGCAGAATTTGATACAAAATATAGGAAGCTTCATATAAGTGAATTACGTGCTTGCTGTTCATTTATTGGTAAATCAATCAGCTCTTTTTATAATACAATCTTAAGGTGCGCTGATAATGAAATTGATGAAATTTCTTACTACCTACATAACTTGATTTCTATTATATATTTTTTTCAGAGCATCTTATGCTATAGTACACCAAACACCCATCCGTATATTTCAGAGGAAGAGTTGAATTATTTGAATGAAACAGTAACCAGTGCTGATACAAAAAGTGTTAGGGATCCTGTACCTTGGAAGGCTATCGTGCGATCTGTTCCAGTTTGGGCTCTATTGTTTGCAGCTGTAAGTATATTTTACTGATTAAGGTATGAACATTGTATTGCTTCAAAATAAGGTAAAATCTTTTACGTACTATAACTACTCATTTATATATTACCGCATCTGTATGGCAAGGTTATCATCCATAAGAGGAACTTAGGACATTTTAGTATACGGTTTTATTTTCTATTTATGTCCTGTTATATTTTTCCCCGTCTTTATATCAATCTGCGACTTGCTCTGTCGGTCTGCTTTTATTGATCATTGTGTGTTCACGTGTAATTTTATAAAGGTCCGTCGTTTTGTGCGAATAGGATACAAATTTATGAAAAGAGCAATAATTTAAATAAATATCAAGGTAAAATTTAACAGGAACTATAAATGAAGTCTTGCACAGTATCATAAGAGTATATCACACTTCTTAATTAACTTTTCAGGTGGGCCACGATTGGGGATACTATACAATGGTGACAGATCTACCTAAATATATGACGGACGTCCTCAAATTCAATATTGCGACCACTGGAACCCTTACTGCTATACCCTATCTGGCTATGTGGATCAGTTCCTTTATCTTTGGCTGGGTCTGTGACATTTGTGTAACAAGAGGCTGGCATTCGATCAGGGTTGGAAGAATAATTCACACAACAATAGGTATGATATTTCTATACTTTTTATTAATTCGACGTTTTTTTACCTAATTGAAATAGTAAATAAGCTGTTGCTGCACCAGATGCTGAAAAGCAACAATCGCCTATACACGTAGAACAGAGCCTATATACATCAATAGCAACAAAGATATCACCTCATCGTTTTTTTTCGGACTACTGTAATGCTGTTAGTCGCAGCTGGCCTTTACAGTTTCAGCGGACGATATGGCGTTGAGTGCAGATGGCACTCCAAACCCGCGAAAGGACTTATAGAGACCTCCCGTCTGATGGATATGGCTTTAGTCTGAGGGCACCGCTAGGGGTCCGAACCTCGGCTCAGGCCGTCGTAATTTCGATCCTTGTTTGAACTGGACGGGGGATCGATCGAAGAGGACTTCATCGTGTGATATTTATGTAAAGTGTGATTCCAATGTGTTCCCATTGTGAGGGATTAGGGAGTTACGCCTTCAAAGTCCACTGACTCTACTGCTATATGGTATTTTTTAACTAAAACAATGCTTACAAAGCAAGCTGTTTGAAGAGCGAAACACATTTCTTCTATTATTATAGAAACATACGTAATGATTATGTAGTATTAGTTACTATTGCGGTTGCTTTTAATATATCACATCGTAAAGGGTCCATTCGATTAAGAGATATTAGATAGATACATAGATAAACAGACAAATCAGACTATTGTTAGGGTTCACATCGATATTGTCGAAAAATCTGATATTTTATATTAAAAGAAGGTAGTTTCATTATTACTCGGTATCGTTAAACTAGTTGCATATAACCCCCACTCATATCTTCTCTGTATAAAAGGGAGGGTTTTTGTAGGCCGCGGCACTAGTCCGACCCGACAACACTATAGCCTTCTTCGACGAAGATAAGGCTGAGTGTCTAGCGTCCAACTTAGAAGCCCAATGCTCCCCCAGCACGCTCCCAGTCGAGGCAGGTCATCTCGAGAAGATAGACACCGAAGTCGAACGCATCGCGTCCACCCCGCCCACCGAATCTCTCTCACCAGTCACGCTTGATGAGGTCAAAACGCTAGTTAAACAACTACCTATCAAAAAATCACCCGGCTCAGACGGCATATCCAATAGGTTAGTCAAAAGTCTACCATCCCAACTTTTAGTATTACTCGTCGCTATTTTTAACGCGGCGCTGTCCAACGCTATATTTCCAGACAGCTGGAAAGAAGCCGTGGTCATTGGTATCCCCAAGCCCGGTAAAAATAAATCCGACCCGTCCAGTTATCGTCCTATCAGCCTCCTCAAGGCTATAGGCAAGCTGTACGAGCGACTCCTCCTCGCCCGCCTAAAGGAGTTTATATACTCCAAAGGCCTGCTCATCAATGAGCAGTTTGGCTTCGAGCCAAACACTCGTGCGTCCATCAAGTGCACCGCATCACGGAGCACATTCACAAAAACACCCTGTACTTCGCCACCAAGTCCCCCAAAGAAGGTACAGGCGTTCTATTTTTCGATGTGGCTAAGGCTTTCGATAATGTCTGGCACAACGGCTTGATTTACAAGCTTCATCAGTTAGGTGTCCCCGACAGGCTAGTACTCATTGTACAAGATTTCCTGTCGAATCGCTCTTATCGCTACCGTATAAACGGAGCGTTATCCGACCCGCGCCCCATACGAGCCGGCGTCCTTCAGGGCGCCGTCCTCTCTCCGATGCTCTACTCGTTGTACACCAACGACATCCCTAAATTCTCCGACTTAAAAGTCGAAATATCGCTGTTTGCCGATGACACGGCTCTCTTTACATCCGCCAAGTCCCGTGCGACAATAGCCAGACGGCTTCAGAAAGCCGTAACCATACTGGGCGAATGGTTCCGTCGGTGGCGCATAGAAGTCAATCCCGAAAAAAGTGCAGCAGTGTACTTTAGCAGGGAATTCGACTCTATGAATCACCCGATCGAACTATTCGGCCAAAACATCCCGTGGGTTTCGAAAACGAAATATCTCGGCGTCACCCTAGATAGGAAACTAACGTTTCGTCCTCACATCAAGCGTGTCCGCGACCGAGCCGCCTTTATACTAGGGCGACTCTATCCTTTTATTAACAAGCACAGTAAAATGTCGCTTCGCAACAAGCTGACATTATACAAGGCTTGCATCCGTCCCATCATGACTTACGCTAGTCCCGTATTCGCCCACATACCCTACTGTTTAATCAACCGACTACAAATCATACAGAATAGGTTTCTGCGTCGAGCCACCGGTGCGCCGTGGTTCGTTCGCAGCGTAGACCTCCACCGCGATCTTAATTTGCCCTCCATCAAGCAGTTTATGAAGGAAGCGTCTCGACGCTACTTCGACTCTGCCCAATCCCACCCTAACCCGCTTATAGTCAGTGCGGTCGACTACGCACCGAGGAGTAATATCCGACATACGCGACAACGTCGCCCGAGGCACGTTCTCATTGACCCCGACGACCCCATAACGGCAGGTAACCTCCCCACGGGCCCACCCGTTCCACCCCGACCACACTTTTACACACACACACGACACCGTCCTCGCCGGCGAAGACGACGACCGGGCGCTCCACACCAGCGCCCCCGGGCGTCCCTCCGATCGATCCCCCGTCCAATTCAAACGGGGATCGAAATTACGACGGCCTGAGCCGAGGTTCGAACCCCTAGTGGTGCCCTCAGACTAAAGTCGTATCCGTCAGGCAGGAGTTGGCCTTCAGCCGCTCCATAAGTCCTTCCGCGGGTTTGGAGTGCCATCTGCACTCGCCCCATAACGTCCGGTGAAGCTGTAAAGGCCAGCTACGGCCAACAGCATTAGAGTAGTCCGAAAAAAAAAAAAAAAAAGGCCGCGGCATTCGATCTTTGAGCACAGGATGTGCTGGTTGTATTTTAATTGCTAAAGTGAATTGTGTTAGAGACATAGTTAAATTAATGTTATATAGTTGTTATTTTATTATAATACATACTTTTACTAGTACATAGAGTTGATATATCTAACACTAATAACATCCTTCTTTTTGTGTCAGGGGGCTAAAACATATCTTATCTTTTAATTACTTTAAATGAATACTTCGATTGATTCCCTGTGCCATTGAATTGAGGATTAAAATTACGAACCTCTAGTGGTACTCTCAGATTGAAATCGTATCTGTCAGGTAGAAGATGATCATTAGCCACTCCATAATTTCTTGCGCTGTTTATGAGCGCGCTCTGCATCTTTTTCGTTGAGTAAAGCTGTAAAAAACCTGATAAGTTATGCGTCCGACAACATTAGTTACAAAATACACAATATTGAAAACGTCAAAAAGTTTGTGTAAATATAACTAATCATTATTAGTTAATCAATATTAAAGCTTATTTGTTATTTTATTTACAAAACCATAAAAAATCATTATAATGTAATACATGTCCTTAGAGTATTCTTTATCTAGTTTTTATCTATTCTATTTTATGCTGAAAGAGCATGGTTTTTGTATAGCAATCTGTTAGTTCATGTAACAAATTGTTGGTATTGGTTTTTAATATCGTATTATTTGTTGCAGCTGCTACTGGTCCCGCAATTTGTATCATATTGGCTTCTTACGCCGGCTGTGATCGGTTTGCTGCCGTCGCCTATTTTATTGCATCAATGGCGCTTATGGGAGGTTTCTATAGCGGCATGAAGGTATGAGATTTTATTAATATCATTAAAAGAAAAGTAGTATAAATGTAACGTTTACAATCATGTACATACATTTCTGATGACCATAAAAATTCTATAGACTGTCTAAAGGCTAGATTTCTTTATACGTAATAATATTAAATCTATCATGTTTTATATAAATAAACGATAATGTAGAGAAAGTATACCCGATCTATATTTTTAATATATTTGTTATACGAGTCTGTAGTAGTTTACATAATATATAAGTATTCGTTATCTGATGAAAATTTATTAAGAGGCGTTTGTTAAATATTCCTGTTATATACTCCACTATATATGTAGTATTTAGAATGCATATAATTATAATTTAAAAAAATATTGTAAAATTATCATCATCATGTTTCATTTAAATACATATTTTTTTCTAGGTGAATGCTTTAGATCTTGCTCCAAATTATGCCGGATCACTTACTGCTATGATAAATGGAACATCTACTATATCTGGAATTATCACTCCTTACCTAATAGGCCTTTTAACGCCTGACGTAAGTATTTACAATTAATGTGCGTTTTAGTCAATAGATATAATATAATATTTGTTGTGATTGTCTCCTGCAATATATTCTCTGTTTCACCTATTTTTACCATGATGAATTGAATGCGTGTACTATATTGTGTCATTACAATAATAGCAAGTTGTCAGTTGTTGTTGGTGCGGTTTCTACATTATAAGAGTGTATATAAAAGGGCGAATTGATCTCAATAGTATAGAATTCCATTAGCAATTCTAATATTACACTTGCTGGAAGTGTTCTCTACTTTCGTTCACAAGGCGTCGGAAAAATCTTATCTTAATGAAACAATAAACAACAGAAGAGGAATCAATTTAGCTGTGTCTTGTCAAATAGCCTTAGGTAATTGCGAACCAACACGAAAATTCGATGAACGAAAATCAAATACTTCGATTGATTCTGAATTAGAATTTTGTAGATGCGAGTAAATAGTTTTAGCTAATGGTAGTGAATGATTTTTATTTGTTTTTGCCTCAAACTGTGTTCGTAACAAATCTCGATATTAGGTAACCTCGAATTGTGTCTATAATAGACCTACATAACCTGCATGTGCATATGTATGTGTACAGTAAATGTATATCTATTATACATCAGTATATATTACGGCAGTACAGCGTATGTCTTGGCATTTGTTAAACATTCTCTATTAAGGGTGATGCAATTTAAAAGTTTTTATATTTATGCACTTCATCCTATTGGCATACTTATTAAAAATTAAACAAATTTATCAAATATGTTTCAAAGGTTTATCCTAAATAAGCTGACTAATATCGCCAAATCTAATAATGAGTCGTATACCAATTTGTCTTCAAAAATTTACGGTAAACCGAATAATATTCGAGGTTAAAGAATAAAAGTTCCTCGATTCTTCGTTTGAAAATAGCTGCCCTAATGAGCTCGTAACGATTCCCTTTTTCGGAGTTTTTTTTTACTTTTTCATAATTTGCAAGGCAAATTTCTTGAAGTACGAAGTTTTATAGAATAATATCATCAAAGTTTAGTATAGATAATAATAGACTTGAATTGATAAACGCTTTTGAACTCATTGTCAAGTACCACACAAAGCCGTCGCAAACTTTGCGGGCTTCGTCTAAAGTTAATGTCTTTTGAGATTTGATCCTGGTTTAGTTCAATGACGCTTAATTGTAACTTTTCATATACAGAGTAGTTGAAGGAGTATCGTGAGAACACTTCACGACTCTCTTAACTTAACTTAGGAAATTTACCAATTAATACTTTTAATAATATTTTATATGAATTTCTCATAAGAAAAAAATTGAAATGATTACCAATATAAAGTTTTTTGTATTTTTGTTTTTGTAACACAAAATAGGTGCTTTTATAGATACTATATAGTACATACTGTAACACACAGAGTAGTATATATCTATATAGTGCATATAAACTATAGTATTCGATTTCTAAAATTACATAACATTAGAAAAAAAATAATTTCTTTACTGCAATAGTTTCATTAATTAGACAATTAAATGTTTTCTATGAGAACACTTAATTTACTAAAGTTTCTTTTCATAAAAATCCACCTAACCATGATTTTTTAATCTCATAATCGACGGCCTGGGTCGTCTAGCGATTATGTCGCTTTACTTCTAATGATCGCGGGTTCGATTCCTTGCAATATGCAAATATTTGTATTTACGTATTTACAAACAATCATATGATTGTTTGTAAAAAAAAGTATCTAAGTATTTATATCAGTTGTCTATTACTGACACAAGTTCTGCTTTTCTGACAAAATGGCTCTGTGTTAATTATCTAGCTTATTTTTTTTATAATCAGCAAGTTCTGAAATAAAATCACAGTTTCAAAAGATTTCAAAAGATTTTGTTAGAATTTTAATATGTATGTATGTATTATTTTTTCAGTCCACGCTATCGCAATGGCGGGTGGCGTTCTGGGTATGCTTCGCCGTTTTGGTCGGCACTAATGTAGTCTACATCTTCTGGGCCGATGGTAAGCAGCAATGGTGGGATGATGTGAGACAGTACGGGTACCCGTCAGAATGGAAACATGGACCACTGAAACAGGCAGATGTGGATAAAGAAAAAAGTAAAAAGAGTAAAAAGAACAAAAAGAGTGAAAAGGAAAATTCTGCATTATAGGCAAATATCTACTATAACTATTAACTTTTAGTTAGTGGAGTATGAACTTTCATGCAGCTATATTAAAATTCCTAATTCGTAATTAAGGTATATACAAAATTGTACATATCTAAATTAATTGCTATCTATAAAGATAAATCGCCTTTGAAGATTGTAATTATACATCAGTTAACAAAACTTGTCCAAGTTACTAACTGAAATCGCTTCATTATTACTTGTTATTTATTCAATTTTCTAAAGTAATGAGCCATTGAGAGAAAATTCATGTAATTGTATCTAGTATGTTACGGATGATTTACTATCTTATATATTGAGCTATTGCTTATAGAAGATAATTTATAGTAGTAGCTTAGGTTGTAATAATAAGTGTATTAATTGAAATAATGTAAGAAATTTAATACTTTTTGCTACAAAAATATATTTTTTCGTCAAAACTGGAATTGACTATTGTAGAATTCTATTTTCAGCATTTCAGCATACTCGAATTTTTAATCAACAGAGTATTTTCACAGATAAAAATATCTTACTAAATATTACTTCCATAGTACAAATGTAGGTTCACACACAATTTAATTATTTTTTTAGCCGCAACAGCCGAACCAACATAGCCAGTAGAATTGTGATATAGATTTAAAATATTATAATTTAAGTTACAAAAACATACTAATAGCTTTTAATTTATTGTTCATTTTATTTAAGAACATTATTTACATAAGTATATAATATTATTTGTATTATAAGTGATATATTAATAGTTAAATTACCGACGCAAACGATACCACACATAATAATATATCAATGAAAGACAATCGGATGGACATAAAGTCAGGAAAGTTAACCCATCGTGCCAAATTTATAAGGACTTCACAACGGCGTTTTCCAGGGGTGGCTGCGGTCAACCTGTTAGGGTTACATTACAGTAATGGCTACTTTAGTCACAAGTACTAGCAATTCCCTCCCTTTACTGTAATATTTATATTAATTAATTGTGTCAGTCGTGGTCTGGTGTCTACTATGACTTGGACCTCGAATATCCTGAATTCGTATCTGCCCGGCACCAAAATATAACTAACTGTGTGTTAATTTATTTCCTCGATAATGGATATACCGATAAAACATTCTAAACTAATCTGAAAGACTACAGTATCACTGTGCCATGTTTATTGAATTCAAATAAACTAACCAAAAATTGAGCATGTTAAGTGATGCATTCTCCACGACGATGGCAGTTTACAATACTTCTGACTAACCTAACTAGGATAGCAGTCGTGAAGGTATATTGTTATCTTCTATAATGTAATTTATATTACTCATGCCGTTTCAGTACCTACAGAGATGCACAGTTGATGATAAAGTACAAATACATACTATATTTTAAGTGGTTTTAATAAACACAATTCTATATATATAACGCTATAGCTATTTAAAAATATCTCATTATTATTTTACAGAAAATATTTATTTATATATTGTATAGACCAGATATATTTTCAGATATATATATTTAGGTATATGTATAGTAATATTAAGTTCTATTATAAATAAAACTATTAGTTATTGAATAGTTTTATTTTATTAAGTAGTAATTCTTTAACAATTATTGTTGATGTAGTATCGCTTTTGTATTATTTGTAACTTATTACCATTAAAATTAATTAAAAAATTAAACCGGTTATGGTAGAAATTTAACAGGGTAAATTATGAAGTGCCATTTAATAATAATGTATGACATTATATTTATTCTAGAATGTGGGAAACCATATTCTCCAGTATATAAGTTGTATTATGAATTTGTACAATAATTATTACATAAATTCAAAATTACTGCAGTTTCTGTGATTAAATTATAGGATGATCCAATTATTATATTGATCTGTAAATAAAATCTATGGAACAGTTATATGTAGTACATAGTTATGTTCCTTTTTATAGGTAATAGATTTTTTATAGTTCTCCAGTTTAATATAGTATTAATTAGAATGTTCATATCAAAATTAAATTATGTCTACTTTTGAAACTAGTTAAAAATATTTATATCGCAATGCGTAAAACACATATATACATATATATATATATATATATATATTTATTATCATACGAAATCAAATATATACATAAATATATTTTTCGTTTTGATTGGGGACACATATGTTCCTGTGGTCATTAAAGCATTAAACTATTGCCCATTGAGTAGCATTTTTATTAATTATCATAATTATGTTATGGATAATACATGTTGTACAAAAATATTAAATGTACCTCTAAAGTTTTTTCTAATAGCTATATTAACTTTTGTTTTACTAGCACCTACGAAAATAATATATATGTTTAATTATATTTATTTATTAAGCAATGTTAATTGTGTTGAAAAGTAAAAAGTATTAGAAAATTATAAAAATAAACCCAAAATGGCCACGACTTTCTATGAATACTCTATTTCTATCTATTAGTATTCGTTGACCGTTTACCATCATAAATTTCCTAGTTCGTATCCTACTCGTATGTACTTTTCCTCCATTTTTTATCTATCGGAAATATATACAGTCTTTATCTTTAAGGTAATTTTAAGTCTCAGACTTCCATTTCGTGGAAGAGATTTCAGATGCCTTTTGTACTTCATTAGGTACTCTGTAATTATATGTTCTCTGTATATATAGTAATATGTGGTATAAAAAAGTTTATAAGAACTCTTGTCAAGGTTACTAATTCACGTCTTTAATTTATAACCGTAATAAAATTAAAAAAAACTAGACGCGAAACCGGCCATAAGTCCTAGTATAAACTCGTCATAATCCGTATAATAAATATACATACATTAAGTGGAAAAATACATGCGATTCTTGAAGTAAGTACTATTAGTAGTTCTTAGGTTTATTAATTATATATTTTATACCCATATGATGGTGTATATTTAATTTATAATTATATTAGTTAATTTCAATTAATTAATCTATTTCATATTGATATTTGATATACTAATCTACCCACGCGAGAAGGTGTGAAATAATTAAGTATTTAAATACCTATTAGCTATAGATATCTAGATAATAAGTATTACCTACTAAACTAAAAAATGTATACATAACTAAATGTATGACGGAAGACATATAATAATAGTGTATGCTTTATGTATAATAATATAATAAATATACACTTCAATTACTAAAATATATTGTTTTTAATATTAAAAATCCTAGAGTACATAAATAAATTAATAAAATAGTAATTAATCATTCTTCTATTGAACAAAGTTCTGATGAACAACAGAGCGCTTTATTGCTATTTTGTTTGTAATTTTATATTTACTCTGCTCTGCCTCTCTAGCGTAAAACATTAGCGTAGGCGGATGCATAATTACATTATCATCCATTAAAAAATATACATAACAAAAACACCCATATCGATACGAGAAATCATTCTCATATATCCAACACATCAAGGGTGGACTAGTCAGTCCAATTTGTTTGCTCGAGGACTCGAACCCTCGACGAAGTGAAATGCTGTGTAAACCGCAAGATTACAAAAATGTCGGATTAAAAAACTATTAAATTTGTAATGTTTCATCCAAACGTTTCCAGTGGCAATGATCAGGTTTCCGCACTGAATATTTGTAGTCTCTTGCTATTGGTAGTGAAATTAAACATAATACTATAAATCCATTAAGTTAATACTTATTAGTATCTTAAAACTGACTATTTGATATATAAAAAAATCGATTATTAAATAGTTCTATTAATTAATTTCCTTAGATTAGGGCTTCAATACGGGGGTGACATCGTGCTTAACCTCTAGATCATTGAGGTCATCTAATAACAATATGTCTAATGTTTGTATATTACAATTTGTACACGTACCTACGTACATTAATAGTTATCACTTTATTTCCTTGTGTTCTTCCTAAGAATACTAATCTACAGTTTAGCCTTGTATTTCCGATAATAAATTAATGATTAAGTACTTTGTTACAGTATAAAAGAATCATGCAATTAAAATATATTTAAGTTATTCCACGACCTTATACTAATTCCAACATACATTAGCATACATATATATCTAGTACCAAACTAATAAAAATCTAATTTACGAATTGACCGGTGAGATAATTTTTATTATTTTTAGAATAGAAAATACACTGATGGCTCACTTGATCACAAAAACACCACGTATATCACATTATCATGAGATGCCTAGTATACCGATCATGCATTCTAGATAAGTTGACGACCCACTTGATGGTGAGTGGCAACCGTCTTATGCGTTTCGTACCATTCCGTAGGATAATTTGTTACGCTTTTTATCATATAATATCACTGTGTCATCTCTCCCTTCAACCGAAACTTTCAAAGCAAACTGCTTGGTATCTAATGTAAGTAAGACCAACGCAGACAACTATTTATAAATACTACCATGGTAGGATTAGCACTACAATCGGACATCTAGCATCCATGAAGGGGCAAGATATAACTAGTTTTTCAAATAAATAATAATAATATATGGTATATGTAACGATATGTTTATTTTTGTATTTTCATCACCTCCATCGCAAGTATGATAATAGAATAATTACGTAATCAACTTGGATAACATAATTGAATAATGTATGAACCGAAAAATGTTACTTACTCGGTCATTCAGAAGCTATATGAAGTTGTTGTGTAGTAAATACATTAGTATATTATCTATGGAATAGTAATCTGTAAAATAATAATATGCGAAATAATAATCTATGAAAGGTGTAAAAGTAATTGTAGTTCTTCAATTAACGGAACTATTGACGCCAGTATGCGCCATCCTAATACAATAAATTCTTTAACAGGACTCATATTGCATATCTAGGTTAGTAATGGACTCTAATGACTTAAATAAGGATAACAATAGTTTTATTACAATAACTGTACATATATGTAGTAATTACTTCATGGTACAACATAGTAATGCTTCCGTTTATTACGACTACTGTAAGAGTTCACTCGTAAAACAAAACAATAGCTAATAATTTAATATAGAAAGAAAACTCGAAAATATTATAATAAGTGGTGAATACCTAAATCGTTTAAATAAGTTGCCATGCTGTGTGTATCGAATTAAAAAAAAAATGTTTACAAGCGATTAAAATGTCCTACATGAATATATGATTTTAGAATAGCCTAGAATTGAGACTTTGATGATTGGCTTTCTCGTATAATAACATCCAACAAGGGAAACAAATTAATGTTTCAAGCTATTTAATATTGTAGATGATGACATTGAACCCAATAATGTAGATAAACAACGTGAGGAGACAAAACATTGTACAGGGGAATTTAATAGTTGATTAAATAAACAGATCAACCGCTAATATGACATCATTGTAGTATGGAGGAAATAGCATAGATGATGGGAAATATTTCGTAATTGCACAGTAGGGCACAATAATGTATTTGACCATGGTTTTGCAACACAATGAAAAAAATCTATTGTTAAGTCCTTGAAAGAGCTATAAAGGGCAAATTATACAATCCGCGGCTTTTTTGTTTCATATGACGTCAGTGTATATACTGTATAAATACTGACAGGACTAATGGAGTTTCTGTCATACATTAAAAGTATACATATTTGACTAAGTGTTTAACGTGACGTTACTAAAGCTAATCCGGTTATCTTGTTCCTGTAGGGTTTTCAGAGAATGTATTCTCCATGCATGAAAAGAAACGCTATTTTCAAGTCTCAACCTCGGATAAACCGGTTTAGATATCAGAATAGCTCTATATTCTATTGATTTTGACTATACTTTGATAAACTTGTTAGGTAGTCGAATCATATACCTATATGATTAGTGTAAAACTAAATTTCATACTATTTTCATTTCTGTGTTTCTCTGCTCTCTCTAAACAAAGCAACGAATTTTGATATGGTTTTACTAACATTTTGACAATTTTACTAATAATTTGTACTCAGTGCATATCTTAGCGCCTTAATGAGTAGATACATCAAGAATCCTTTTTAATAAAACAAAAGTTGTATGTATATTTTATTACCATTTTAAGTTGATTGTTTGTCACTTACTCACATCCCTTGCATTCAGAACTCATTCACGCGATAGCTTTATTTTATGCATTGTGCATAAAATACAATTGCAAGTATAAATAATTAGGTAATTCGAAACTACAATATGCAGTAATATTTTATTGTTACTTTTTCATGCATGACTTACATAAAATCACAAAAACCATCATTAGTATAAGCATACATTTATAAAATTATGAAAGAATGACGAATAGATGAATTTTTATTCGTCAATCAAAAAGAGAGTTCTGAGATAAAGACATTCTATTTCTGTCC